TGCTTTTCGAAATTCGTATTGAATGTCGGATTTATAATTCGGAGATTTGTATAACCTGTCCCAGATTTTTTATTTGCGTAAAAATTTACATGTGACATATCGTGTGAATACAGGAATAATACACCTGATATCCGAGATTTTGAGTCTCCCTCAGATTATTTAACTCGATTAAAGATCCACGCGGACTTTTGTTATGATCAAAAAATGTTGACAGATTCTAGCACCGGTTATTCCTCACTGCCTTCCAGCCGTTCGAATATACCCTCAAATCAAGCTGCACCTGAAGCAACGCCAGCACTTGAGCGATATTTTAATCCACGAATGATTTATTTGTGGTTAAAAAATCTCGAAGCAATTATACATTTATCACAAGCACTAAACGAAAAATTAAATTCAGATTTTATTTCGTTGGAATGGGTACAACATCGTGAGGTTATGAAGTAGGTTGAGGAAGCCTGCTATGATTTTAGCCTATATAATTTTCGAAACATTAATAATTAGATCAACACTTAGAAACAACATAAAACACACGCGAGAAATAACGACGGATTTGATTAATAGAGAAATTTCATTAATATCAAGTTATGTTACTGAATATAGTTTTAGTTATGAACTGATTCAAGCTATTGTGAGTACCCTAAAAACCTTACGATTATGATTTTCAATAGTTATTTACGAAACTTAACATTTATAGGGCATAATAATTTTTAGACCACCGAATTATGTAAAAACCATTTGGGATACAGTAGCAGTATGCTTAATTGTTCATATAATCTTTGGATCTCCGTATTTTTTAGTTAATAATTTGATTATGGTATAATATATTTTATAGGAAGTTGTAAATAAAATGCATTCTTCTCAACAGGACACAGCATTAGATTTGTCTGCAACAGGCCTTCCAAACAACAAAATAATTCCGGCATGTATAAAAGAAGCGTTTGATGGGTTAACTCAAATTGAAAACAAGCTTGATCCTTGGGATTCAAGGCTTGAGGAGCTATGGAATTCTGACATTAAACAGCCTCAAAAAGATTTGTTGCCTTATAGTGTATATAATGATGTTGACGATGATAAGCTACCTTATTTGGAGGTTTGTTAAGGATAATTTCACTTTCAATTAAATTATCGTGTTTCTTATATTGGCTGCTTTCTTTTATTACACAGTTTACAACTGAAAATTTTAAGCATTGGGGTGTAAAGGATCCTGCGAAGGAATTCAGTTATGGGTGTACTTGTCGCAATAATTGTCGAGTAGGATAGATCAATTGGTTGTTGTTTTTAAGCCCTTCAACTTTTGGATTAATTTGATTTCAAACTCCTTCTAGGACATTGAAGCATGTTCATGTATACAACATTGCGAA